GCCTACCCTTGATTCCTTTTTCTGATTTCTTGCTCATGTGAGAGTCCAGTGTACACTGGAAGAGGGGCTCTGATCCATGAATTCAGGGCCCCAGCCTCCTTTCATCTAAGGACTCTGCCTCTGTTAACTAACAGAGATCCTTTCATTTGGGCTGGTGTACACAGGGAGTCGGAAAGGCAAAGATAGAAAGAATGGAGAAGACACACCTGCTTTAAACTACCTTGACCCAGAAGTAACACAGATGACTTCCAAACAAATTCCATGGGTAAGAACTAGTCATATGGCCCATCCGGCTACAAGGAGGATGGCTATATAATCTAGTTATATATCCAGAAGAAAAGGAAAACATGGATACTGGTAAGGACTTCTAATCACTAAATATCTTTCTGCTCACTTTCACTACCCAAAGAACACACTCAAGCCTCTCCCACCGCCCAGAAGCAAACCTGAAGTCCCATTCAGTCAGCACATCTAACTACAAGTGCAGGACCTCTGGCTCTGCCAGTTTCCTTCATCAAGACCACGTGCAGCTCCTTAAGACACAACCTATGAACTGAAAAGGCATGTTATTTGCCCCGGCTCTCCCCAGTCCCAATATACAAGAGTGGGACAGGAGGAGAAGGTTCTTCCTTACCAAATATTCTCCTTGGCCATGTGGGCTCTGGCACACCCTCCTGAGGGGCCGTAAAACCTTCATAACCCACCTCTTTCCAGGGCAAGTTCTGGGTCCTTAAAAATTGATTTTATAGCTGTAATAGTCAGGCTCATGGTTCCATTGCCAACAGAATTCCGTCAAAAACTTAGCAGGCCTTTGATCTATTTGTTTCCAGTCGGCTCCATGTGCCAGTAACCACACACAAAGTTCTTCCCCAGACATGCCTCCATTCCTCTTGCTTTCAACTAACCGAAGCCACCTGGAGGCCACATGAAACAATAGGTCAGCAGTTTCCAACTCTGGCTGCAAAACAGAATCTTGGCTGCAAAACAGAACTTTCAAAAACTGCCTGTGTCCGGGTTTCATGTACCCTGGACCCATTAAATCAGAAGCTATGAAGGGGGGAGCAAGATGATTCTGATGAGAAGCCAGTTAAGAACTATACTTCATCTGATCTTTGCCACAGGACTGTCACATTTTTTTTTCAACTGAGAACACTTACTAGGTCTTTGATGCTCAAAACCTCTCTCAACTCTTATCTCTTGCTCTCTAGAAATAGTCTGTTTTTCCTTTCACTGCCCCAACTCTCAGAACTTTCTCTATTCCCTTTCATTTTTTGCTGGAAAGCTAGCCAATTCTTTCCTAAGCTCATCTCTTTCATGTAATACCTTACCAATAAGAGTCAACACACACTCTGACCTTTTCCAACGTTTGACCTAGAGTTCGCTTGGCATGAAGGAAGTCTTCCAAATTATCATGGATGACAAATTTACCAAATTGGTCACCACTGCAGAACTTGGGTTTCTGTCTTTCCCAACTCCAATATCAGTGTCCTCATCAGCGTGCTTCCTGACTGCTAAGCCAACGAAACAAACGTTAAGGTTTTGTTTTAACAGAATTCCACTTCCAGTACCAACCACTGTAGCAAAAACTAAAACCTCAGTAGCTTAACACAGAGTTTCTCCCTTGCTTCCATCAGAGTCACACAGGTTGGCAGGATATTCCTCTCCACCCATTGTTCAAGGATGCAGTTTCCTTTCATTTTATGGTTTCACCCTCTCTGGGTCCTAATGAAATTCTCTCCATTAAGCTGCTAGAGAGGATAGAAAAGGCACCCAGTTATTAACTGTCTTGTTCTGGGAAGAGATATATCACTCTGATCACATTCCACTGGTAACAGCTATTCACATGGTCCTTTTGGATACAGTGGGGCTGAGAAATGTAGTCTAGATGTGTGCCCAGCAAGAACAGGAAAACAGTGATGTTGGTGAGCCCTAGTGGTCTCTTTAACACCCTTAAAATTTAAGCTCCACCAAGGCAGGAATCGTCGTCTAGTTTGTTCATAGATGTATCTCATAAGCCTCTTACAGAGTGCCTGGGACATAGCAGGTGCTCAAAATATATCTTTTGAATAAATAACGAATGGACAGAATGAATTACAGGTATGGTACCATATGGCATTCTTTTCTATAATAAAGACAAATGAATGGATTGATGAATAAAAGAATGGCGAATTATACTGCACAGTTACTTAGATAAAACATTAAACAGAACTTTTGGAAAAATCAAAATAAATTTCCAAGCACCAACACTACACATATCAAATCTACAATGCAAATTCATACACAAACTGGTTAAATGCACACTAAATTCATCTGTTGTGAACACAGAGAAACATTCATTCAAAATTTTAGTACAAACACAGTGGACAAACTTCAAAGAAATTACTATTAAACTGATAACACATTTTTCTGTTAGGTGGAAATTTCTTTACCCACAACAGCCTCAAAATTCATCCATATCTTCCTCAAAGAACAAGGGCACTGCACACAGAGTCCTAGTCTTAAAAACAAGTCACACACAGACATGTAAAAGACCTTACCAATATGCATCTACCATCATAATGCAAACACTCATCAAAATTCAGAACTAACACATTTATGATAGAAGCTTCAAAATTATGCATGCTGATAATACTTGACTTTTCCTTAACTCTTAAGTCACTATAACAAAAATAAATTAATAAACTAGAAAAAAATAACAAAGCTGAAATAAAAATAACAATAAATGGCGATAAGACTGACTTCACAAGAGTGTTGTGAGGATCAAACAGAAATATAAGAATTCACTCGTGATTTCTGTACTTTCCTTTATGTATGTTATAGATCAACAGAGTATATGAAAAACTGCTTTGTAAATCATAAAGCAATATTCAAACAGTCACTTATCTTTAAATAAATGTAAAATCCCCATTTCTATATGGGTTTTAAATTAGCTAAATGAGCAAGTTCAAACTAAGGTGAAAAAGAAGTTCCTCATCCTCCTAGCCCCAACATCTGGAAGAGAACTTTCAGGAGATACATTCCAGAGAATCCAGTCATTATGAAAGGTAATAAGGCAACGAGCCTTCTCAGTGTAAAGAGTTAGACTCTAAACAAAAAACAGTTGAAAAATATTAATAAGTCATTTAACACAGCGGGATACTTGTACTTTAAGAAGAAGAAAAAGTAACAATTTGAAAATCTATAAATTCTGTCCAGTCAATGAAAAAGAGAATAAACTACTGGGTTTTATTTTTTGTTTTCCCTTTGCTTGTTTAAAAAATTTAAAATAATGACTCCTCAACCAAAAGAAATATTGGAATTTACAACATAAGACCCAGGATAGGAGGTTCAGTTTAACAAAATTTTATGGGTTAGCTGTAACTGAAAAGCCATCTAATAAAAAATTATCTCTAACACATTATCAGAGATGTAGGAAGTAAAGTATACACCTGATTAAAGTTTGTTTCTTGTTTTTAACTAATCCCTGATATAAACTTATTTGCTTTTTTCTTGGTTGAGTTTTAAGACGGTTAACTAGGAAAAAAAAGAAAATAGAAAAAAAACCCTGCTTATTGAAGCTTTCTAATACTTAAAGTCTAATAGGATGACCGGGCTTAAGAACCTAGATCCTGAATTATACTTATGACCCTATATATTTTTCTACCTTGTAGCAAACTAACCAACCAACAAACAAAAGCTAGAGGAAAAGGATTTAAAGCAAGGCTATAGCAATTTAGGAAATAAAAATATGACATATTTTAAACTCTGGAAATAAACTGAGAGAAGGGAAGAAAAAATGATTGATATTAAACTTGTTACATGATTTATAAACACCACAGAAAAATCAGACATTGACCTCTACCCAAATACTGTTATTTAAAAGATTGCTTTTGGGGCTTCCCTGGTGGTGCAGTGGTTGAGAATCTGCCTGCCAATGCAGGGGACACAGGTTCGAGCCCTGGTCCAGGAAGATCCCACATGCCACGGAGCAACTGGGCCCATGAGCCACAATTGCTGAGCCTGCGCGTCTGGAGGCTGTGCTCCGCAACAAGAGAGGCCACAACAGTGAGAGGCCCACGCACTGCAATGAAGAGTGGCCCGCGCTCGCCGCAACTAGAGAAAGCCCTCACACAGAAACGAAGACCCAACACAGCCAAAAGTAAATAAATAAATTTATATTAAAAAAAAAAAAAGATTGCTTTTGAAAGTAAAGACATCAGTGTGGCAATTGTAAAATACAGTATCTACCCAACTTTAGAGAGGTAAAAATTTAACTCCTTCATCTCATGCAGCTTTCCCTGCAACATTTAAACCCTATAAGCATGAATAAAGTTTGCTTGAAAAAAAGAACTTTAAATCTTCCTTAAAGCTCAGAGAGTAAGTCTTCTGGGGTGGGGGTGGTACCCCCTTGTACAATTTTAAAAGAAGACACTTTTCAGGCTTCCCTGGTGGCGCAGTGGTTGAGAATCTACCTGCCAATGCAGGGGACACAGGTTCAAGCCCTGGTCTGGGAGGATCCCACATGCCGCAGAGCATCTAGGCCCGTGAGCCACAACTATTGAGCCTGCGCGTCTGGAGCTTGTGCTCTGCAACAAGAGAAGCCGCGACAGTGAGAGGCCCGTGCACCGCGATGAGGAGTGGCCCCCGCTCTCCGCAACTGGAGAAAGCCCACGCACAAAAACAAAGATCCAGCATAGCCAAAAATAAATATTAATTAATAAAAAAAAAAAAGAAGACACTTTTCACTGGGAAAGCGAGCACTGCAACATTCCATTTTACTGAATAAAAGGGACCACATCAAAGGTCATATCATCTCCATCTCCTAGAACTTTAAAAACTCTCCTTTTCAAATCAAGTGATGAAGCACAACATATCTGCAAGCCCCATCATAAATGTAAGGGTTAATATTTTATGACACCACATCCTTATTTGATAGGCATCTATCAGAAAAGTGGCCCTGGTGCTGTTATGGATGAAACAGATAACCGCTGGGGACACAGACTGAGACACAAAGCAGTTACCCAAGAGGAATGCTCCTTCATCTGGTGCTGGTTGCTGTGAGGGCCATTGGCATGGCCACGCCAAAAGCAATTTTGGCAGAGCTGGTAGTTGTGGCACTGCTGGCATCGGTACCGGAAACCCATCATACTCTCACACCGGCAATAGGAGCACTCCACGGGGTGGAAGACTTGAGGGATGAGGGCAGGGAGGAGAGGGAACCAGAGGGAGAAAGAAGTCATTTTCATTTGGAGAATAAAGTCAGTACAGTGGAAAACCAAATTTAACATAAAAGCAAAGGTGAAAACAAAACTAGAAGTGAAGAATCTAAATTGTCTTCAATTTAGTTAACCTAACCAGCCATTCACTGGAATAAAAAGAAAATAACAAAATTTTCCATTTAGAATAGATTACAATCCACCTTAAAAAACAACTAATTTCCTTCTTTAAAATGACATTCGTGTCTCAAATTTTAGGTAAATAAACCAGTAAGGAGGAGAGACACCCTCATTCCAAAATTTCTCTTCCAAACCTATTTTTTTAAAGAGATGTATATTGTTAGTTGTGGACATATGTTTCCTTCACTAACATAAAATCTGTGAGAGCCAGTACGCCATGCTTTATGTCTCTGCTACTTGCAAGTGGTATTTCACACAGTCCTTTGGACTGAAGGCCTCCAAATGTTTGCTGAACTAAATACTACAGGGACTTTCCTGGAAGTCCAGTGGTTAAGACTCCGAGCTTTCAACGCAGGGGGCACTGGTTCGATCCCTGGTTGGGGAACTAAGATCCCACATGACACACAGCACAGCCAGTAAATAAATAAATAAATAAATACTACTACATACCTGGGTGCAAATGGTAACTGGTAAAAAAGTAAGGCTACCATATCAAAATACTAGTTTTAGGTAAGAGCTCCAAGTATTGGCATAAAATAAGGTGCTCTAACCAATGAAGGGGCAGTGATTTGGAGAGAGGGAAACTCAGGTGACCTGAGACTCCTTTCTCCACCTCACACAGCATCTTACCTCAGGAAAAACCGCCAGCCGGCAGTCAGGATTTATGGGGGTTACTGGGATTCTCTTATAGCCTGAAAGTCCAGTTTACTCAGTGGAAGTGGGCAATAAATGCACAACTGTATATTACAGATTGTTATTTATACTTTTTTTTTTTTTTTTTTTTTGGTACGCGGGCCTCTCACTGCTGTGCCTTTTCCTGTTGCGGAGCACAGGCTCAGGACGCACAGGCTCAGCGGCCATGGCTCACGGGCCCAGCCACTCCACAGCATGTGGGATCTTCCCGGACCGGGGCACGAACCCGTGTCCCCTGCATCGGCAGGCGGACTCTCAACCACTGCGCCACCAGGGAAGCCCTGTTATTTATACTTTTAAATGTTGACAGCACGATTGTTCCCTCTGGCAATTCAATTCTGAACACAAGAAATGGAAGTCAAAGGAAAGAGGGATATAATATTCAATATTCATTTGAACAACTCTTTCTAGCACTGTGTATACAAAGGCAGTGTTGTCTCAATCATAAGGATTTTTAGTCCTACTTCCAAAAATGCATATTAACTAGAGAATCAAGTCTCAAAACAAACAAACAACAACAACAAAACCTGAGCACTAGGTGAGAAAAATAATACAAGATCATTCAAGAATAACAGAAAACTAAAATCTGGAATGAGAAATCCAAAAGACATACCTCCTCTAAGAAATTTAAATTTTTGTTATCAAAATATTTCTAAGGAATAATGAAAGTGTTAATCACATAAGAATGTAATTTATAAATAATATACTACATACAAAGTCACAACAAAATGTTCATACGGATAACACTAGATCTCGACAACTGAGATCCTCTCTACTTGGGATAGCAGATATGAAATGATTTTATGAAAATGAGCTGGATATGAAACTACAAAAACATTTAGTGCTATAAAGGTATTGTCCCTCAAAAGAACCAACACTGTAATAATTTAACAGCATAAATCTCTATCCAAAAATCCTGTTTAAAAATTTAGCTGTTTGGGCTTCCCTGGTGGCACAGTGGTTGAGAGTCCACCTGCCGATGCAGGGGACATGGGTTCGTGCCCCAGTCCGGGAAGATCCCACATGCCGCAGAGCGGCTGGGCCCGTGAGCCACGGCCACTGGGCATGCGCGCGTTCCGGGCCTGTGCTCCGCAGCGGGAGAGGCCACAGCAGTGGGAGGCCCGCGTACCGCAAAAAAAAAAAAAAAAAAAAAAATTTAGCTGTTTTAGTCTACTCAAGAGATTCCAGGACTTTAGGAAAATAATCTTGAATCTAAGGACTTGTGAACTAAAGCCATGACTGAGTGAAAGCCTGAGAAGTTTTAAAAAAAAAAAAAAAGGTATGAGTAGGAGGGAGAGAAAATAAAAAGAGTACGGTAGCGTTCTCTCATTCTTACAAAATGAAAAAAGAGGACTCTGCTTTTTAGCGCCGCAAAGCTATCACTCCTTCTCTTTTGTGGAATGAGGAGAGACAGGCAAGAAGAGCCTTGAAAGAAGGGAGCTTCCAGAGAAAAGCTAGGACCTTTCCTTTAATGAATTCAAACAACCTAAACAAGGAGATAAACTGATAGCAATAGCAGAAAAACCTAAGTAGTTACTAAGAGATAAGTACCATTTCAATTTCAAGTGAAACAAAGATTTAAGTCAAACTACTTGGGAAGGATACTGAGAGTAATTCAGTGGTAAAGGAAAAAACTGAATATGGGTGAAACCCAGTACCAAATTCTATCTTGGCTATTTTCCTTTAAACTATTCCAAAATTTTATAGTGTTAGTGGTTGATATTGAATATATACAATTTTTTGGAGTTATGCTTTTTATAAACTAAAGGAAGTCATGGCTAAGTCAGGTGGGTTTAAGCAGAAAACAACCATCTGGAATCTTGGGGGAAAAGCCTGGCGTTTGAACCACAAAGTTTTCTGACCTGATATTACTACCTCTTGGTATCCTATCTAAGTATAATAAGTCCTCCCTCCCTTTTTTTTTTTTTTGAGAAATAAATATTCCTCTTTTGGAAGCTAAAACCACAAATTCAAATGATGGAGTGCCAGCAAATGTCAACTGTAATTTTCAATGATAATAACTAAGGACATTACAAATACTGTCAGTTCATATACTTCCTATAGCACAGGGAACTGGATGATAAAAGTTCTGCTTACCATTCTCAACGTGGGCAAGCCTATGCATGAGAGGTAGCCAGACAAGGCACTGGGGAGGAGGATCGGCCATCATGGTGTCTAAAAACGTATTTAGCATTATCTTTTTCTGTGAAGAGAAAAAAAAACAAGTATACTTCATATTTTTCAAATATCTCTGAACTCTAAGATTAAGTTAACTTAGGATTCTCCCAACCAAGTTGTAATGAATTACATGGGAAATTTTATAGCAAAATAAATAGTATTTTGCATTACTACAGACAATGCTACACACTATCCTATGTACTACTGCTATATTCAAATGCATTTCCACTTACATTATTTTATTTGAATCTTAAAACAACTGTAAAAGACAAATAGGCTAGGATGGAATTACTATGTTGTACACCTGAAACTAATACTGTAAGTTAACTATATTTCAATAAAACATATGAAATGAAAAAAAGATAAATAGGCTAGGTATTACTATCTTCATTTTACAGATGAGATAATAAAGGAATGACGCATTTAAATGGTTTGTAAAGGTCCTACCAAAATCAGGACTACAACTCAGGTGTCCTTCAAATGACTATTTCTGAAGAATTCTGAAGGAAAGTCTCAGATCCAGGACAGAGACTGTAGGCCAGCACTGAATGGAGGGAGGGAAAGGTTCTCACATATATGTAAGAGGGCTAAATGAGGGTGATTAACACTAGGAAGTTACCGTCCAAAGGCCCTTATACATAGCTATGCACTGACGGTGTAGTTTGAGAAATGCCTACTCGAATAGGCTAAATAAAGTTTTCCAAAGTGTTTTCCATCTCAGGCATCCAAGCTACTAATGTTTCTGAGATTTCAGTGGAATCTGAGAGGAATGCGTGAGCAACGTTAAAAATAAAAACAGAAAGTCACCCAGCATTTGAATGGAGGTTCAGACGTGGAAAATGCCTCTTATAATGGATATGCAAATAACTGCAATAAACCAAAATGAAATTAAAAGTGTATACTTAAAATTGAGAAAGAAGATGCTAGGAAGTCTTTAGCTAGTCAGAGGTGGTTAATATACGTTTGTACTTATATCACTTATCATAAATGTAATGTTTAAATTAATGTTTCTGTATCCTCTTATATTTGTTAAAAATTACACTTTTACAAATCCACTTATAATCCTAATGCTACTTTCCCTAAAAGTTTTGATTTACCTATCATGGAGTTTTGTGTGGTTTCTTAAATCTTCAAGATGAAAAGGAATTATACTTGATATCTCAGAACTCCCTCATAAGTACGCTCAGGATCAGTTTCCAAAAGTTGTCCTAAGTCATACTATAATTTAAGTCCTCCAAAAGCATGAGGAATGAAACCAGAAGAACTGTGTCCCAGTGCTCTGTCTTCCACTAACTACGTGATTGGGGGGAAATCACCTAACATTCTGGTTTCAGTTTTCTTATCTCTCAAGGGCTAGAGCAGTGGTTCTCGAAGTATGGTCAGAGGTCCCCCTGCAAGGTTCCTAAAACATTTCCAAGGAGCCCATGAGGTCAAAACTATTTTCATAATAATATTAAGACATCATTTGCTTTTTTCAATCTGATTCTCTCATGACTGTACAGTGGAATGTTCCAGAGGCAACGTGGCATATCCACAATTATCTGCAAAAGCTTTTAAAATATTCCTCCCTTTTCCAACTATACAGCTGTCTGAGACCAGATTTTCTTTCCATACTTTAACCAAAACAACATATCACAACAGACTGAATGGATAAGCAGACATGAAAACCCAGCTGTCTTCAACTGAGCCAAATATTAAAGAAATTTGCAAAAAATATAAAACAATGGCATTCTTCTCATTAAATTTTTTTGCTTTGGAATATCTACTTTTCATAAAATATATTATTTATGTTAATATGTAATCGGTTTATCACTGTTCTTTTTAAATGATTTAATATTTTATAATTTATCAGTTTTTATTTCTAATATGGAAATACTGATAGATATAACTCATATAAACAAAAGCTCTCTGGGGTGCTCAAATATTTTCAGGGGTGTAAAAAGGTCCTGATACCAGAAAGTTTGAGAACTTATGGGACAGAATTCCCAGCTCTAAAATTCCGTGACTCAGTAAATAACTATGTGAAAGACAGACTCTTTCACTCTTCTTCTACCTTTTGTTTTGTTTTATTTTGGTTTTGCTCCTGTGTTGAACACATTCTTTGCATTTCTCTTTATTTTTTACAACAGAATATTTATAATAAAAACTATAATAAAACTGAAAGTAATGAACATTCTTGCCACAATTCTCATTTTTCTGTATTTCCCTCCAAATGCGTGTTTCTATATAATTATGTACATAGGGTATATAAAAATATATAATCTGTCTTTCCACTTAATATTTTTTCTTTTTTAAATAAATTTATTTATTTATTTCTGGCTGAGTTGTGTCTTTATTGCTGCGCGGGGGCTCTCTCTAGTTGTGGCAAGTGGGAGCCACTCTTTGTTGCCATGCGCGGGCTTCTCATAGCGGTGGCTTCTCTTGTTGCAGAGCACAGGCTCTAGGCGTGTGGGCTTCAGTAGTTGAGGCACATGATGAAGCACAGGCTCAGTAGTTGTGGCGCCCAGGCTTAGCTGCTTCGCTGCATGTGGGATCTTCCCAAACCAGGGCTCGAACCCGTGTTCCCTGCATTGGCAGGCAGATTCCCAACCACTGTGCCACCAGGGAATCCCCCACTTAATGTTTTATTAAATACTTTATTGTTTTGCTACAAGGTCTTCTTTTCTAATCATTTTAACAGCTGCCTCATCCACTGAGCAAAAACACCATGATTTATTTATGCTTTCCTCAATAAAACATTGAGCCTGTTTTTATCTTTGTATGCACTCTCATATTTTTCTTAGAAACCAGTGTTTCTGTTTTCTGTCTACTTCCCCACGCTTTGTTATCCTAATCATCAATACTGACAATTATTAGTCTAGATGGCATTTGACTTCCCTCCCTCCACTCTTGGCTACAACTTTCCTGTTTTAAAAGAGGGGAGAAATCATCTCTTAAAAGTGAGAAATCCAGTATCACTAAAATAACGTGAGAAAACAAGTAAAATAATTTAGCATTAGGTCACCATAGCTGCAATTTCCAATCTCATCTTTTCCATTAAAAACTCCTATTTTCTGGGACTTCCCTGGTGGTGTAGTGGTTAAGAAACTGCCTGCCAATGGAGGGGACATGAGTTCAATCCCTGGTCCGGGAAGATCCCACATGCCGCGGAGCAACTAAGCCCGTGTGTTACAACTACTGACCCCACGTGCCGCAACTACTGAAGCTCACACGTTCTAGGGCCCACATGCCGCAACTATTGAGCCTGTGTGCTGCAACTACTGAAGCCTGGGCGCCTAGAGCCCGTGCTCTGCAACAAGAGAAGCCACCGCAATGAGACGCCCGCACACTGAAACAAAGAGTAGCCCCCACTCGCCACAACTAGAGAAAGCCCGTGCACAGCAACAAAGACCCAGTGCAGCCAAAAACAACAACAACAAAAACAACAAAACAAAACTCCTATTTTCTTATGGGCAACAGGGAGATATTTCTTATCCATTGCCCTATCACTTACTTGGTAATCAGTTAAACAATGTATGACATTTAGCTAAAAGACTTAAAAACAGCATTTTTTAAATCTTTCAGATTAAAATGTTTTTATACAAACTTTTTGTGTAAAGTTATAGAAATACTTTGTCTGACAAGAGCAAACACACATTAACTGGTTACAGGACCAGTGCTATGGGTCAGCCTTTCAGTTATTATAAGATACTGAATCATATCACAGATTTATTCTGGACTTTGAAAATTAGAGTACTTTGTAATGACACAACAATATAGTGTTGCTGTGCTTTTTATCGAGATACTTTTATTTATTATAGCTTTTTTTAAAAAAGAATGGAAAAAGTCTTCAAAAATTCTGAAATTCGGTATTTTCCTCATTGCAAAGATTGTCTCATTTGAGAAAATTATGGAATAATATCAGTGAAAACAACAAGGTTGCAATCACATCCATGAGCTTTAAGCTTGCAGTAAGAATTCAAGCCCAGATACTTACTCACGCCATAATAGATTTAAAACCACTACTCAAATCAAACTACCTAGTAAGCACTGATGATTTTCCAGACACTGTTAGTAATGGGGATTTAAATTTGAAGGAGACCAAGGTGCATCCCTCAGGGCATAAGTGAGCTAGATGTAACAGGCCAGGGCCTGTAGAAGAGGAAACAATTAATCCTACATTGAAAGATTCAGAGCAACAAAGACAAGGAAATATTTAGCTGTGACTTGAAATATGAGGCCCTTGTTGGAGGAGAGAAAGAAGGTCGGGGTTACTGGCATTTCAGTGAGAGCTAACAGCATAAACAAAGAAGAGAAGTATACCACTTTCACCTACTCAAAACAAGAGAAATGCAAATCAAAACTATGCTGAGATAACACTTCTCATCTCTCAGATTGGCAAAAATTCCTAAATGTAAGAACATGTGCTGTTGGCAAGGCTGTGGAGAAAAAGATGGACTTACACACTGCTGGTGGGAGTGTAAATGGTACAACCCCTGTGGCACTGGGGCAATATCTAAAAAGAATCCATGGCATCCTGAGGGATGGGGTCTGTGGGGGTAGGACGGATCAGGAATGAAGGTGAAAGAGAGGCAGGGGTTGGATCGATAAGCAACACCTTGTCTGGCTAACTACATTATCCAGGAGGCAGCGAGGAGTTAGTAAGGTTTTTTCAAAGCGAACTAGGGACATCAACAAGGCTGTTTTTTAAAATGATGACTTAAACTCAAATTTGCTTATGATTAAAAGGAATAATGGGGAGGACCTTCAAGATGGCAGAAGAGTAAGACGTGGAGATCACCTTCCTCCCCACATGTACATCAAAAATACATCTACAGGGCTTCCCTGGTGGCACAGTGGTTGAGAGTCCGCCTGCCGATGCAGGGGACACGGGTTCGTGCCCCGGTCCGGGAAGATCCCACATGCTGTGGAGTGGCTGGGCCCATGAGCCATGGCCACTGAGCCTGCGCGTCTGAAGCGGGTGCTCCACAACGGGAGAGGCCACAACAGTGAGAGGCCTGCGTACCACAAAAAAACAAACAAACAAACAAAAACATCTACATGTGGAACAACTCCTACAGAACACCTACTGAACACTGGCAGAAGACCTCAGACTTCCCAAAAGGCAAGAAACTCCCCACGCACCTGGCCGTGTGGCTGATAGGGTCTTGGTGCTCCGGCTGGCTTTCAGGCCTGAGCCTCTGAGGTGAGAAGGCCGAGTTCTGGACATTGGACCACCAGAGACCTCCTGGCCGCACGTAATGTCTATCAGCGAGAGCTCTCCCACATATCTCCGTCTCAACACTAAGACCCAGCTCCACACAATGACCAGCAAGTTACAGTGCTGGATACCCTATGCCAAACAACTAGCAAGACAGGAACACAATCACACCCATTAGCAGAGAGGCTGCCTAAAATCATAACAGGTGCACAGACACCCCAAAACACATCACTGGACGCAGTCCTGCCCACCAGAAAGATAAGATCCAGGTTCATCTACCAGAACACAGGCACCAGCCCCCTCTGCCAGGAAGGCTACACAACCCACTGCACCAACCTTACCCACTGGGGGCAGACACCAAAAAAAACAGGAACTACAAACATGCAGCCTGTGAAAAGGAGACCCCGAACACAGTAAACTAAGCAAAATGAGAAGACAGAGAAATACGCAGCAGATGAAAGAGCAAAGTAAAAGTCCACCAGACGAAACAAATGAAGAGGAAATAGGCAGTCTACCTGAAAAAGAATTCAGAATAATGATAGTAAAGATGATCCAAAATCTTGGAAACAGAGAAAATACAAGAAACGTTTATCAAGTACCTAGAAGAACTAAAGAGTGAGCAAACAAACAATGATGAACAACACAATAAATGAAACTAAATATTCTCTAGAAGCAATCAACAGCAGAATAACTGAGGCAGAAGAACGGAAAAGTGACCTGGAAGATAAAATAGTGGAAATAACTACCACAGAACAGGATAAAGAAAAAGGAATGAAAAGAATTGAGGACAGTCTCAGAGACCTCTGGGACAACATTAAATGCACCAACATTCGAATTACATGGGTCCCAGAAGAAGAAGAAGAGAAAAAGAAAGGGACTGAGAAAATATTTGAAGAGATTAGAGTTGAAACCTTCCCTAATATGGGAAAAGAAATAGTCAAGTCCAGGAAGCACAGAGAGTCCCATACAGGATAAATCCAAGGAGAAACATGCCAAGACACATATTAATCAAACTATCAAAAATTAAATACACAGAAAAAAAATTAAAAGCAGCAAGCGAGAGCAACAAATAACACACAAGGGAACCCCCATAAGGTTAACAGCTGATCTTTCACCAGAAACTCTCCAAGCCAGAAGGCAGTGGCAGGATATATTTAAAGTGATGAAAAGGAAAAACCTACAACCAAGATTACTCTACCCAGCAAGGATCTCAATCAGATTCGATGGAGAAATTAAAACCTTTACAGACAGCAAAAGCTAAGAGAATTCAGCACCACCAGACAAGCTTTACAACAAATGCTAAAGGAACTTCTCTAGCAGGAAACCAAGAGAAGGAAAAGACCTACAAACACAAACCTAAAACAATTAAGAAAATGGTAACAGGAACATACATATCGATAATTACGTTAAATGTAAGTGGATTAAATGCTCCAACCAAAAGACACAGACTGGCTGAATGGATACAAAAACAAGACCCATACATATGCTCCTACAAGCCACTTCAGACCTAGGGACACATACAGACTGAAAGTGAGGGATGGAAAAAGATATTCCATGCAAATGGAAATCAAAAGAAAGCTGGAGTAGCAATTCTCATATCAGACAAAATACACTTTAAAATAAAGACTATTACAAGAGACAAAGCAGGACACTATATAATGATCAAGGGATCAATCCAAGAAGAAGACATAAGAATTGTAAATATTTATGCACCCAACATAGGAGCACCTCAATACATAAGGCAAATGGAAACAGCCATAAAAGGGGAAATCGACAGTAACACAATCATAGTAGGGGACTTTACCACCTCACTTTCACCAATGAACAGATCATCCAAAATGAAAATAAATAAGGAAACACAAGCTTTAAATGATACATTAAACATGATGGACTTACTTATAGGACATTCCATCCAAACAAAATACACTTTCTTCACAAGTGCTCATGGAACATTCTCCAGGATAGATCATATCTTGGGTCACAAATCAAGCCTTGGTAAATTTAAGAAAATTGAAATTGTATCAAGTATCTTTTCCAACCACGATGCTATGAGACTAGATATCAATTACAGGAAAAAAAACTGTAAAAAATACAAACACATGAAGGCTAAACAATACACTACTAAATAACCAAGAGATCCCCAAAGAAATCAAAGAGGAAATCAAAAAATACCTAGAAACAAATGACAATGAAAACATGACAACCCAAAACCTATGGGATGCAGCAAAAGCAGTTCTAAGAGGGAAGTTTATAGCAATACAATCCTACCTCAAGAAACGAGAAAAATCTCAAATAAACAACCTAACCTTACATCTAAAGCAATTAGAGAAAGAAGAACAAAAACTCCCGAAGTTAGCTGAAGGAAAGAAATCATAAAGATCAGAGCAGAAATAAATGAAGGAAACGATAGCAAAGATCAATAAAACTCAAAGCTGGTTCTTTGAGAAGATAAACAAAATGGATAAACCATTAGCCAGACTCATCAAGAAAAAAGGGAGAAGACTCAAATCAACAGAATTAGAAATGAAAAAGGAGAAGTAATAACTGACACTGCAGAAATACAAAGGATCATGAGAGATTACTACAAGCAACTATATGCCAATAAAATGGACAAGCTGGAAGAAATGGAAATACTTAGAAAAGCACAACCATCTGAGACTGAACCAGGAAGAAATAGAAAATATAAACAGGCCAATCACAAGCACTGAAATTGAAACTGTGATTAAAAATCTTCCAACAATCCGGCCTCCCTGGTGGCACACTGGTTGAGAGTCCGCCTGCCGATGTAGGGGACACGGGTTCGTGCCCCGGTTCGGGAGGATCCCACATGCCGCGGAGCGGCTGGGCCCGTGAGCCATGGCCGCTGAGCCTGCGCATCCGGAGCCTGTGCTCCGCAATGGGAGAGGCCACAGCAGTGAGGGGCCCACGTGCCGCCAAGGAAAAAAAAAAAAAGGTTATTAAAAAAAAACTCATTAGGGAGAGTAACATACGTCTAGCAGCAATAAGAAAAATACTTTACCTTAAACATTGTTCTTGAAATTTTTAGTAATTTAAAATATTTCAACTGTTATCATTTTTTCAGAAAAGACTTCCCTCCCCTCTTCCAAGAAAAGAGTTCTCAGGCGAATTTTTAATCCCCCCTCTCTTCTACATCCTCTCCTCTGACTTAAAAGTTATTTTCCCTCCCCTACTCAAGACCTATATTCCTAGAGTGAAGCAATCTGGCGAAATCTGACAAAAGGTGGAGGGGTGGATGAGAGCTCTTCTAATACTAGATTCTATAAACCCATCCTTACCTGCTGTGGAAAACAGGTGCGGACTGAGTGCTCTGTGTAACCAAAAGATGGCCCTTCAAAGACAGCTGTTGGGAGCTTGAGAACTTCCTTCAGAAACTGGTCAAACTTGCTAAATATCATTAAGCCATTGGAATCTGACATCTGGGAGAAAACATCTATGAGAACAAAACCAAATAAAGTCAAACTATAAGGAAATATCAACTCTTAATAAACAGCTCTATGTCATTTGTATACCAGTCCAAAAGCATCATTAAAAAGTATCATAAAGTTGTTATGATTTTTAGTTAACACGAATTCTCATTCTCATTAACACTGTGTGGTTACTTTGCTGATGAGGCCCCTCTTTCCCACCCACTTAATATTCTACCTAAACATCACATAACCACTCATGTACGTCTACCTACCTACTCTTTTCGAGCGTACGTAACTGGATAACGTATAACTTTTTATTTTATCTATTTACACCTCACTTTATTCCAAGAAGAATTTGTAGCAGCATATCTTTATCTCTTACATTTGTGTACGTATTTATATAAGACATATACATCTTTGAGTGTATGAATATATTTGCATATTGGTGATAGGGTATGAAAGAAATTGTATCGTATTTGCATATTATTATACTAATGATGTAATATATTCCTGTGTAGTATGTTTATTTAGAATATTCCATTTAGTAAGTTCCAGAGTAGAATAAAAAGAACTCATATAATCTCTTCTATCACAAGATACTCTGATACTATAAGATCCTATTTTTATATAAAGTCTGACCCAAGCAGCTAGAAAGACAGTTCCAGTAATACTACTATTTCTTTATCTCCTTGTAGAGAGTTTCCTATCTCCAGTTAGTTATTTCTCTCTTCTCACCCATAATTGGGGAGAAAAAGAAAAATAACCAGGAGCTCAAAACAACTTGACAACTTTAACCTAAGCTTTCTTTTCAAACTATTCAGCTTTCTTACAAACAAATCAGTGAGTTAAATATGCAGAGAAAAATAATTTCCTGAGGCCTTTCAAACTTGGCACTTTGAAAAATCATATTCTGGGCTTCCCTGGTGGCACAGTGGTTGAGAGTCCGCCTGCTGATGCAGGGGACACAGGTTCGTGCCCCGGTCCGGGAAGATCCCACGTGCCGCGGAGTGGCTCAGCCCGTGAGCCGTGGCCGCTGAGCCTGCGCGTCCGGAGCCTGTGCTCCGCAACAGGAGAGGCCACAGCAGTGAGAGGCCCACATACCACAAAAAAGAAAAAGAAAAAAACATCATATTCTATATATTCATAATGAACAGGTATATTAGAAATACATATGTATCCCAAAGCACCAGATATAGGAAAAAAACAACCATTAAAATACCTTAATCAAAGAAAGATAAAATTTAGATCATCAAGTCCACAGGGTAACTTTTAAGGCATTAGAAAACAGGAAATTATCAAGGAATGAAAATCTCCAGTACATTCCTCTCATGAGAGCTGCTAGCTTGTAGCTGAGGGAAAAGTATTAAATACCCATGAGGTGGGGAAAATCCAACAAGAGGCTAAAAGAAGTACAGTCCTAGTAGAAAGTAAAATCAATTAATTAACAAATACATACTAAGTTCTTACTAAGTAGTCCAAGTGCCAAGTACTCTGCTAGGTGTTTTGAAAAACAACAAAGAAGTTTGATACATGGTCCTTATCCCCCCCAAGAAACTTTCAACATAGCTGGAAAAAATAAGATACACATGAAGCAAAGAAGAATAAAGCACTAAGCTGACTCTAAATAGAACAGAAAGAAGGGAGGCGTAAGATATTTGTTAAACCTCACCATTTGCCTGGCACCACAACAGGTAACTATGGCTGAGTCTGCTGTAGACACCCAGTATTCTTATCTCCTTCCTTAGTAACAGAACACTAATTTTATTTTGTGCAGCAATGTACCCAACTAAGAGATTAAACTTTGAAGCCTTCTTCTAACAAGTTGCAGTCATATGACTAGGTGTTTGGACAATGAGACTATAAGCAGAAGGGTTGTGAGAGACTTCCTAGAAGGCTAGTTTTAGGCAGCTTTTTAAAGAAAGCTGACTGCACTGGAAATAGATCCTTTCTTCCTTCCTCCTTTTGCTATCTGGAATGCAGCTATGATGGCTGGAGCTTCCAGCAGCCACCTTGGACTATGTGGTAATCTCAACTTTTATGTAGAAATCATACACTAGAATGATAGAAAAGAAAGATATAGAAAGCCTGGGTCCCAGATGAACATGAAACTATCATACCAGCCCTGGACTACATACTCCTGGACTTCTTTTATATACGAGAAAAATAAACTTCAACTTTGTTTAAAATACTGTTACCTTGGTTTTTGTTTTCATGTAGCAATCCCCAATATTAAGTACTACTATAGTTTACTAAACATTACCTCATTTTACTGTCACAAAAAGGTGTGTACGTACACATGTGTATGCACATAATTGTTAAATTTTATAGATAAGGAAAGTAGCTTAGAAAGGTTAACTTTCTTAAGGTCAAAAGTTACTAAGTGGCTAAATCAAGATTTAAACCCACACTTATCCGACTGCAAAGACATTCCATTACATCACACTTCTTCAAAATATAGTGTAGAGTAGACACAAAAACACATAGGGGGCTTCCCTGGTGGCGCAGTGGTTCAGAGTCCACCTGCCGATGCAGGGGACACGGGTTCGTGCCCCGGTCCGGGAAGATCCCACATGCCGCGGAGCGGCTGGGCCCGTGAGCCATGGCCGCTGAGCCTGCGCGTCCGGAGCCTGTGCTCCACAACGGGAGAGGCCACAACAGTGAGAGGCCCGTGTACCACAAAAAACAAACAAACAAACAAACAAACAAACAAGAAATTTAGAAGCCTGGCCTTGAAAAATAGAATTTGGAATGATGAGGTCAAAACAGCTGGGGGGTGGGGGTCTGGGGACACAACTAGAGAAGAACAGGAAAAATAAAACGAATGAATAAATATAACAAAACAGAAACAGACTCACAGATACAGAGAACAAACTGGTGGTTACCAGTGGGGAGGGGCAAGATGGGGGTAGGGAACGAAGAGGTACAAACTACTATGTATAAAATAAACAAGCTGCAAGGATATACTGTACAACACAGGGAATATAGCCAATATTTTACAGTAACTTTAAATGGAGTATAATCTCTAAGAATATTGAATCACTATGTTGCACACTTGAAACTAATATTGTAAATCAACCATACTTCAATCTAGAAAGAAAAAAGGAGAGTAGGATAAAAGTCTCTGTGGCAGGAATTTATAGAGTGTGTCTGTTAGTGGTGGCAGGCAAGAAACAGTGCATCAAAGAGAACATTCTATGATAATTTATATTGTGAAGTAAAGGTAAATAGAGATTGAATAAGAAAAGTATGTTATCGGGCTTCCCTGGTGGTGCAGTGGTTGAGAGTCTGCCTGCCGATGCAGGGGACACGGGTTCGTGCCCCGGTCCGGGAAGATCTCACATGCCGTGGAGCGGCTGGGACCGTGAGCAACGGCCGCTGAGCCTCCGAGTCCGGAGCCTGTGCTCCGCAACGAGAGAGGCCACAACAGTGAGAGGCCCGCGTACCGCAAAAAAAAAAGAAAAGAAAAAAGAAAAGTATGTTATGAATGAAAACTTTGAAAGAGGAAACAATTTGGATTTGGTTTAAAAATGCTGAAGTAGGGAAGAAATATTTAGAAAGTTAGGTTTCAAGAAAATTAGACTGCTAATGATTGGCAGAATGAATAATAGAGGAAGAATAAGATTGGCGACATCAACTAGAAAACCCTGTAAATAATGCACAAGTAAGAAAGTGAGAGTCAGAATTACAGGAGTGACAGTATTGAGGGGCGGGCTTGGTCGACTCCAAGACATTTCAATGCAGGAAACTGAAGTTGATGGCAAACTGGATTAGAGAATAAAGGAATTTCTAAAATTAGGATTATTTTAAGCTTCTAGCTCAGAAAAATGCTGACAACCCTGACTGAAATAACCAAATTGAAGATAAAGACACTTAGCTTTGAACATAACTGTATTTGAACTAATCAGCAAATTTCCAAGTAGAACCATCCTGCAGGCAGTTAGAAGCAGAGTACTGGGCCGCAGTTCGAGACAGCAGATACAGAGTTTTGAAGACATTACCAATTATGTGAATAACTGATGCCCTTTGAAGGAGGGAAGAGCATCATGACTTAATTTTCAAATAGCTGGCTGCTGTTCTCATAATGAAGAAAATAATCATCCATTAAATCTGAATGAAAACTAAGGGGAAATATGGGATGTGGCAGACACTGCAAGGTGCCTACTGCTCAGTATCTATTTTCCCATTTTCACTCCCGAACTGAACTCTGATTAGAATGGCAATGTGTTCCCCTTAAAAATTACTTCCCAGACTCTTGTGCACGTTGTAATTCTGAAGTGAATTTGTGGAAAAGCTTTTGCTTTCCTGATACAGGCATCTCTTTCTCCTTTCTACTTAAAATGAGAATAAGGCACAGTAAAGAGCAGTCACTTATAATCCTAGGAGGAAAGCCATATGGCAGAGCAGGAAGACAGGAGGAACCCAAGTCTCTGATGACATCCCTGAGTCATGGTACCAACCTTGAACTTGCCAGCCTCTGAATTTATTGTTGCATGAGAAAAATAAATCCCAATGGTTTTATGCCACTGTTAGTCAAGTTTTCTGTTGCCACTCAATGTATTCATAATGGAGAAACTAGCAAGTTAATGGTAGAAATATTCAAGACCAGAGACTTCAGCTACCAAGTATATATTGATAAATACACATATGTATAGCTTCCAATCACAAAAACATACGTGTATACATGCACACCACCAAATCTATACCTAACTCATTCAGAGCAATAAAGGAGTGATTAGACAGTGAAATGACTAACTTCCCCTCAAAAAAAGTATTACTTTCAGTTATACTTAGTTACTAGGTCATAAAATAGATTCAAAGTAGTAAAAAAAATTTTAATCAATGAAAAAAGAAACTATAACTTACTAGGCCCACATTACACTAGTAAGAGAACAAGCAGAAACATGTTTGTTGGTTGGTTGGTTTTAAAAGAAAAACTGGTAGACCTCAAAACTATTAAGTAATTACTTAGAAGTCATGACTTCTAGAGTTACTTGTTTAAAACAGTTTTTTTGTTTATTTTTAG